AATATAAAATATTATAATAATATAAAATATTAAATATTATAAAATATACAACACACTATAAAATATACAATTATGCAAAATAATATAAAAATCTGTAACGTTACTTTTAAAAAATAAATATTAGTATTAGCTAGCGCATGACTTTTGTATAGCAAGTGCTTTTTACTGACGTTATAGAAACAAAACATCCGTGCTTTCAAAATACTCACTAAAGCAGGATATGATTTCAAAGCTCTGAGATACTTCAACTGAGAAGATACTAAAGGTCTGGAGGCAATATCTATGAGATAATCTTGGTCCATGTAAAATACATTTAAACTAGGTAAGCCAGGTGGCAAAAGTAATTTTAAATTGCTACAAAACATAAGAACAAACATGTAAGCTTGTGAACTCTTACTTCTCCTACTCTGAAGAGAATGGGTAATGTTTGTTAATTAAAAAACCCCAATGCAATACTGGATGAACCGACCATGTATTGCTAATTTTTTGGTATTCTTTCAAGCTGATTTAATTACAGTACAGTGTAGTACTATGTCTTTCTCAGCAGTTCAAATCCGACACTTCTTAGTGGCTCTTGGACATTAGTGTCATCGCTAACAGTCATCCAGATTTAGGGCTAAAATTCAAGTGTTCAGACACTTCTTAGTGGCTCTTGGACATTAGTGTCATCGCTAACAGTCATCCAGATTTAGGGCTAAAATTCAAGTGTTCAGTATCACTTGTTTAGTATCAGAATTGACATGAAATCCTATACTTTAACCTCAAATATTGCCCAAACACTGGTGCAGCCATTATGTGGCACAGGGATCAGGTGTGGTTCCCCATCCTATGAAATGCAGGCAGCATGTCAGGGACTGGAGGAAAGGTTGCCTGGCTGAAAACGAGCGGCCGGAAAAGCAGTCGGGGGAACGGGTGGAGCTCTGCGTAGCTAGGGACGGTGGCTGCTGCCCCTCCAGCCCCTCGAGCCTCAGCAGGTAATTGCATGTCTGCAATGGAACTGGCCTCGGTGACCTCTTGGCTCTGATGTGAGCCCTGAGATGGTGGTGGTCGACCACGAGGCCTTGCAGCAAGCCCCGAGATGGTGCTGAAGCTCCTGGCTCGGCCGAAGCACAGCACAGGTGTGAGCTGGTGTTGGGTCGGGCCCTGGGCAAAGGGAAAGGATAGAAGGACACTGAGACATCCCACTGCCCTGGGCTGGAAGTGATGAGACCACACTGGATCCACGGGTGGTGACTACCTCTCTTTCTCATCTATTTTTCTCTTTTTCTCTCTACTTTTCTCCTTTGTAATATATTAAGCTCCAAGCCACACTGAGCAGTATCCCCTTAATGACTCACTGAGTGCTGCAATCAGTGCCTGGCTAGAGGCTTTATTCTCTCAAGTTAATGTTTGCACAGAATGTTTGAATGCTGTGAAGTTTATTGATTTGCCTTTTGCCAACTGTCTTATTCCACATGAGTGACCCAAAGCTCATGAGGAAAAATTATTTCTTCCTGAACCTCCTGAGAATTGCCTTATTTCTCTCACCACCACCCAGAGTAATTCAGAATCTCCTTCTCCTCAACCTGCTGAGCAAACTGGGGTGTTACAGCATGGAATAAATGAATAATGGGTTAATGGGATAAAAGTATGTGTTACCAGGTCAGTCATCTCAGTGTGTTTGATAGGACAATTCACATCTCTGCAATGAAAAGGTATCTCATCATTAACTTTTCCCTTACCTATACACGCTACCTAAAGTAGATTCTAGCTCTGTGGAACACAGTCTCACCTCTTCTGTCCTTCTGTTTGAAATAGTTACTGATTGCAGTTCTTTTTGAAGACGGAGGCACTTAAGCTGTTCCTCTTTAAGCTGTCCATGCAGTTCATCACCTTTCACTAATAAAGCGTCATGGTTGGTCTTCAGATTCTTTAGGTTCTGTGAAAAGGAAGGGAAAATATTCAGGGGAAAACCCAAATAAAAATCACGCCTAATAAAATGTTCCCACACTGCATGTTCAAACAGGGACTCTCATGGCAGCACTCAACACATATCCTCAACGTGGACAGTAGGAGACATAGAATCATAGAATTTAGGGGCTGGAATGGACCTTACAGACCACTGAGTCCCAATCCCTCTGCCCTGGGCAGGGACACCTCCTCACTAGACCACGATGCTCAAGGCTCCTCCAGCCTGGCCCTGAACACCTCCAGGGTTGGGGCAGCCACAGCCTCCCTGGGCCCCCTGGGACAGTGTCTCACCACCCTCACAGGGAAAAACCTTTTTCTAATGTCTAACCTAAACTTGCACTCCTTCACTTTGAACCCATTACCCCTTGTCCTGTCATTGCAGTTCCTAACACAGAGTTCCTCTCTGGCTCCTTGTAGGCCCTTCAGATATTGACAAGATGGTCTGAGGTTGCATCAGCCTTCTGAGGAGTCTTTGCAGTCTTCTCTTCTCCAGGCTGAACACCCCCAGCTCCCTCAGCCTGTCCTCACAGGGAGATGCTCCAGTCCTCCTAGCAACTTTGTGGCCTCCTCTGCACTTGCTCCAACAGTTCCATGTCCTTCTTATGTTGAGGACACCAGAATTGCATGCAATATTCCAGGTGGGTCTCACCAGAGCAGAGGGGAAGAATTGCCTCTTTTAACTTTCTAGCCGAACTGACTCTGTTGAACTAAGTAACTGAAATTAACTCTAATTACGCACGGTCAGAAAAAGGTGGCACTCTGGTTGCCCTTATGAACCTTAAACCCTCAGTTCAGCCATCATGAAAACAACCAAGAAATCCAGCTGGTAAGCAACGACAAGATGTTGCTGTGGTGACAGTGGTTAGACATGCTGAGCAAAAGCACTGACAGCAAGCAGAAAGGAATGCTGAGCACAGCTCTGTTAATCCCCGAGTCTGCACAGCTCTCTGAACCCTGACTTGTAGATATATAAATGTTTCATAACCCTAATGCACTCAGTGCTATTTCCATGCTAGCAGTAATTTTAATGAGGGACTTCTGATTTCCTTTACATTTTCATTTACTTCAATGGATTCTAGTAAGGCACATTTAACCAATTTTAATGCTGATAGTCCCTCTATTTCCAGAATAATAGTTATTATTATACTGTCTACATTCCACAATGATTTAATAAAGCCTCATTCATGAAGAATTTCAATGCAAATCATATTATGGCTTGAGACAAAACAGCCCAAAAGACAATCTCCTATTTAATAAAATAATTGTATGAAAATTTATGCCAAATACATATGTGCCTATAGTTAATGTTTAATGATCGTAGACAGAGAAAAGTTCATTTTTTTCTATACAATACTCCTACAAAATAGTTACATGGAGAAGCTGAATGTGAATCCTATAAAAATTGTTTAGGTTCATGTGCAGTCTGAATAGAGTAGAACAAACAAAAAAACAATGAGAAACCAATCACCAACTTGATCTTCAGCCTTTCATTTCTCAGTAAGAAAAATATAATGGATAATAATTAATATTAGCAGTTAATGAAGTATATTATTCATCAATTTTTAACAGTCTTTCTTCAGGGCTCCTCTTACTCTGTCCTATATCTGTGAACTGTATTTCAATAATTTCAAAAAATGACACAAAAATAATTCTTTGTAAAATAATTCTTTTTATATCTCTCCATATTTTTTCCTTTCTTAGCAAAATCAGAAACCTTAAAGTTTCTAACCCTTCCAACTGCCCAAGTGAACTCATCTTTTCTTTTCCATCCCTCAGCTTCAATTCATTCTTGAAGTTCTCTTCCATTTAAATAACTTGTGTCACTTGAACCCACAATATAGGAAGAAAAACAAAAACCCTACCTTGGCAAAGCTGCCCTTCACTGAGACTATTTCATCCTCATCTCTTCCCTTAATTTCCAAAACAGTTGAAAACAATCCAGCAATCATATTTGAACTATTGAACCATTTCATTAAAATTACTAAAAACATCCCTTCTTGAAAAATCTTGCTTCCACTTAATTCTATTCCTTCAGTGTCTCTCCTTACCATTTTGTATTAACTTTCCTCATTAAGGGGAACCATGACTTCACCCTCATTTGTTTTATTCTTTTTCCAAAATGCATATTTTACCTGGATATTCTTCTATATCTGAGTGTTCTGTCAGCACATTTTTCCATACGTGGATATCTGGACTATCCCAAGACACAGGTCATGGCAACAATTGAGATGACAATTGTAGTTTAAAGTTTCTAGTCTGGAATTTTGTTTATTTGGGAAACATGTCTCGATACTGCTGTCAGTCAGAAATCATTCATTTAAAGGATTACAGAACCAGAGAGTTAAGGGGCTGGAATAGATCTCAGAGATGATCCAGCCCCAACCCCTGCCCTGGGCAGGGACACCTCCCCCCAGAGCAGGTTGCTCAAGGCTTTAGCCAACCTGGAATGAACACTGCCAGGGTTGGGGCAGCCACAGCCTCCCTGGGCACCCTGGGACAGGGTCTCACCACCCACAGAGTAAAGCAAATGGATATATACCTCCTAGAAATATTGCAAAAATGTACATCAGCTGGTCTCAATTACATCTGTGACACTGTTGAACTGATTGTTCAAGGGAATTGACTCTCAATGGTATTTTAAATTGCAGTTGCACAGATTAGCATATTTCATATTACAAATAATGGAATCTTGAATGCTCAGTCTGTAATTAAAGCAAATAAATATACCAAGAGGATCAAATACATAATCCAAACATTTTCAGGGTCCTTTGCTCTTCTAAGCAGATTGCACAATTCCTTCATTCAACTTGCTACTATAAAAGTCTTTAGAGTAAAACTGTCCTGTAACTGTTTGGTAGCAAACACAACTTCAGTATCATTGGATGGAGCAGGACCATCCCCTATAGGACCTTCCCTATGAGGACAGGCAGAGGAAGCTGGGGCTGTTCAGCCTGGAGAAGAGAAGACTGCGTGGAGACCTCAGAGCAACTTTTCAATATCTGAAAGGCCTACAAAGGAGCCAGAGAGGGACTCTGTGTTAGGAACTGCAATGACAGGACAAGGGGTAATGGGTTCAAAGTGAAGGAGGGGAAGTTTAGGTTAGACATTAGAAAAAGATTTTTCCCTGTGAGGGTGGTGAGACACTGTCCCAGGGGGCCCAGGGAGGCTGTGGCTGCCCCAACCCTGGAGGTGTTCAAGGCCAGGCTGGATGAGCCTTGAGCATCGTGGTCTAGTGAGGAGGTGTCCCTGCCCAGGGCAGGGGTTGGGACTGGATGATCTGTAAGGTCCATTCCAACCCTTAAATTTTATGATTCTATAGGCTCCTCTCCTTCTGTGAATGCTGATGTGACAAGAGTACAGAATGTTACTGATCAAACTGCAATTACCTCTTGAAGCTGGAGAAATTTTCCTTCCAAAGCTGAAAGGGCATTGCTTTTCTCAGCCAGCTGCTTACGGACCTTGATCATTTCCACGTTGTCCTGAATGTTTAGCCTTCAAAATTAGAAAGAAATGCATTATCATCACACATTTAGAAGATTTGCTGTGTAATACTCAAATTAATTTCTTCTTCTATAATCCACACTACAGAATAAACATTGTAGTGCATGATGACAAAACAACTTCAATCCATACATCACAGCTTTGTTCTTTGTATAGAAGTGTGTATGACAGGAAGAGAAAATAATCCTATACCTAAAGGGATTGTTTTCCATTAGCTTCTTTCCCACCATCCAAATTATTTGGTGCCAGTACAATTTCATGCAGCTTCCACCTACCAAATACTGTTCTGAAATTGTGACTTAGCAATTTAATGCCACAACACCTTAAGGCTGGTATTCAAACAAACTGCAGGTGTGTCTTAACTACGTGAAAATCTCTTAATATCCATAAAGATGTTCTTACAACTCTAGTATTAATTTGAGAATGTATTGTTTAATAGAAAGGATGCTTAAAATAATTCAAAATGTAAAGAAATATTTATTTAGGTTTTTCCTTACTTCAATGGTACAACTAAACCCCATTATTTTCACAAGAATGTGAAGAGACACTTGTTCTGATTTTTATTAATATAAATTATGATAAAATCAGAATACAATTTTAACTTTTGAAAGGTAATTTCTCTTACAATATCAGTCTATTTTAGACACGTTGGATGAATTGCCACAATGCCATGCTGGAGCAAGACTCCGAAGCTTACACACCTGTAAACCAGCTGAGAATGTGAAATACTTGCCTTTTATTCTTGAAAGTATCAAATCCTGCTATGTTTTGGCATTGCCCAGTTAGTTGTCCTTACACAGAACAAACACACTCAAAAAATCCAAGACCTGCCCAAAGAAACAGTCCTAACTCAGTGCTAAAACTCTGATGTGTGTGAAACATGTTGTCCCCATGGATCCAAGCTGTCAGTGGTACAGACAGCAGCACTGCCTCATTGCAGCTGTTTCAAGGCTAATGGAACAGCACCTTTTTATTAACTTTGCTTCAAACATCAAACAAAAGGCTTTTTCATTTATTTTCCCTTTCATTTTTTAAAGCAGGGGCCTTGTTTTTTTCTTTTTAAGCAGAGAAAGGAGCAGATGACAGTGAAATTTATGATGTACAAGTGTAAACTCCACGGCTCCTGACAATCAACATTCACTACTTTTTCAGCAGTCAATGAAACAGAATTTGATTCAAACAGGTTTGGGGTACTGATATTATGGAGAAAATTACTCAAATTTGGAAGTGAAAAAGTCCTTTTTATTGGGATCATTTCAGTTCTTACTATGGTAAGAGTACTTATCTCACGAAGTTTCTAACTACAGAAAGCACATTCAATTAATTACTTATTAGTGCATTACACTGATCAAAATCTCAGCTCTCCTAACAGAGTCCCTCTCCAGCTACCCTGTAGGCCTTCAGATCCTGGAACAATTTGATTCTGAAACAATCTCCAAATAATCTGTAATTAAATATTGGAAAAAAACATAGATTGCAGCCAAGTTACAGTAATAATCTCAAGGAGTACACTGCACCTGAACTCAGCTCTGTTATACAGCTCTTGTGTTGTACAGAAACTGTAGTGAAACTGCAAAGGCATCTTTCAAAAACTACTGGATTTCTTGTGGGTAGAGGACTGAACATAACCAGTACTTCTCCCCCTTACCACTGATGGATCAATGATTCCTAACTGTGGATGCCTCACTACTTGGACAATACTTCAGTCTCAAGAAATTCTTAATCGTGTTTCAGAATAAGTACTGTTTTCCTAAAGGTGGAAAGTAACCTAATTTTTTTCATAGCAGGCTGGGATCAAATGGTGCTACATGAAGAGTGGTGGAAGCACTTTTATTATGACCTTTGGGTGCCATACAGTTTCTAAAGAATTTCAGATTAATTAGCTGCCTTTGGATAGTGATATAGTTACATGACGGCCAAGGGTATTCTTACAAATACAAGATAAAGCTGTCAATTGTACCAAAATTGAAAGACATAAGCTACAAAGATGAACTATGATGACTTTATAGGTCACCCAAACTTCCATTTTCTCCTGCAGTATTCCAGTTTTGACAGTTTCTTCTCTGCTGATGCAAAGTAAAAATAAGAACTATATAGAAACTTTACTTTAAAAGTCCTTAAACATTTCACAGATAAATGGTTACTGTCCTGACTTTAGATGTCATGTTCAGTTTCTTACTGCTGTACTTAAAGAGCAGTGTTTGTATAAAGCACGGTTCATTGGAACAGACCATTTGCAAAAAATGAAGAAAAGTCTTAAATTTTCTGAATTCACTCATTCATGCACTCTGTGCATTCATTCTGCATCTATTTAAACTATATAAAGGGAATTCTGAATAGGGGAGAGTTATGACTTTGTGAGTGATTTAACAGCAATCACTATGATGTGCTGTTTA